CTCTGGTGGGAGGGGCCACGTACAGAGACGCTGGAGACGCTGCTCTGCTCAGCGCCGCAGAAAATTACCAATATTTTATTAGAAAATATAATTAAAATATTTTTATAGAAAATCAGCCGAGGGCCAGATTAAAGGTCTTGGAGGGCCGGATCTGGCCCCCGGGCCGTATGTTTGACACCTGTGGTTTAGACGGTGACGGCGTTTTTGGGGCTTAAAAACATAAAAATCTGAAACCATCCTCCAGAGTGGAAAAGTTTAATACGTTTCACCGTAGCATTTCCGTCTGCACTGCCCAAGACGCAAAACTCTGGTCAGATCTGCTCACGTCGCGTACACGTTTACATCACATACTTACAGTTCACAGAAACAAACATGTTGGATCATTTCCATGCATCGACAGCTCTAATAAACTTACAGGAGGCTCCCAACAAATGTTCAGAATCTACAGAGACACTATTAGTGAACAGAGAAGGATCTGCAATCACCTCTGTCAAATTCTGGATGCACCAGTTCGTCGCAGGCGAGTCAAACGCTTATGGACGAGACCTGGAGAACCAGTCGATGGTGGAACAACTTTGTGGAAGGAGTAATTGATGAAAATGCGCGGTGAGAAAACTTCCGTATGTCCAAAGATGCTCTTGTTGCTTTAAGTACAAGCAAACCCAATTGAATTCCACACACTTTTGCGTCACCGTATGCATGCAGATTTCCTCCTGAAAAAGCTCATCTAAACACGGAATAAAAAGTGAAGACGCGACACCACTTTTGCGTCTTCTGCTCAGACCGTCGTCATATAAACATAACCTTATATCGACTCAGCTTCTTGTGACTAAAAGGGAGCTCACCAGATGCAAAAGGTTGGAGACCCCTGTTTTATTACAAATTTTATTTTGACTTGTACATTTACATTTATATAATTATGTCTTATTTAACACCTGTCTCTTGCTCTTTTTTGCTACTTATTTAGAATTTTCTATTACCATTTATATTTTGCTCTTTGTTATTACATTATATTGTGATGTGTGAGCTACTGTGTCCAAATAATTTCCCTTGTGGATCAATAAAGTTTGTCTAAGGTTACGTTTACACTGAAACGAACCACCGTATCGGAAATGATTTAAGTCCAGACACGTCATTTCTGTGTCCGTTTCCCATCCACACAGTAACGCGAAACTGCCTGAAACGCCGGTCACATGACTTGGCTGGAGTCACGTGGTCACAACGTCACGTGGGCACGCAGATTTCCTCCTGAAAACGCTCGTCTAAATGCGGAATAAAAAGTGAAGGTGCGACAACACTTTTGCGTCTTCTGTTCAGACCGTCATCAAGTAAATGTAGCACGAATCACCTTTATTTAATTCCGCTCAGCGTCTGTGTGTTGGGAAGGGTTCTGATTGGACAGGGACACAAACGTATATACGTCGACCGGAAGAAAACACACACTTCAGCTGCTACCGGCTTTTTTGTCATCTCGGTTTGTCGTTACGCCACGGACACAAACATGATACAAACTTTTTTCTCAGTTATTCCGATGATAATGAAGCAGCAGCTGGAGAATTCTGTCATCGCGCTTTACGTCTGTTGACTGAGGAGGAGGAGGGAAGAGTGTCAGAGAAGGGAGGAAAAAGACAAACTGAGTCAGCGACTGCTCTTCCTCAGCCCACTCCCACATCCCGCTCGCAAATCCAAAGAGACGTGGATGAAAGTGAAGCTATTAAACATTTTATTTTTAAATAAAGAAAAAACGGCTGAACGACTATTTAATTTAACTCGAATAATGAACAGAGAAAACAAATGGCACGATTACTATTCTTTCATTCTCATTGTAGTTTATTTCGCATGATCATAAACGATAAACTTTTTCGCCTTTGTTAACATTATTATTAGTTTGTACGACCATAAACGAAAACAAAAAATCCTTACATTCTTTCATTCTCATTGTTTGTTTCGCACGATCATAAACGATAAACTTTTTCGCCTTCGTTAACATTATTATTAGTTTGTACGACCTTAAACTGGGGGGGAGAACGAGGAAGAAAGAAATTTCTGGTAGATTGATTGATTGGTTTGTAAAATATTCGGAGCAATGATTTAAACAGTTCAACACTGTAGAAACCTTTTTAAAAGATTAAAGTTTGGCCCACGACTTAGTCCCAGTTTTTAATTTTAGCCCTCTGTGAATTTGAGTTTGACACCCGTGCTGTAGGAAGGGTTTACATGGTCTTTTTTAAAGCGGAATACATTTTTATTTTATTATTATTTTCATTCGTAATTAAAGCTCTCATGTAAACGTGGCAAATGACAGACTGTGGTTATAATGGAGTCAACATGAAGCTGTGATCCATTAACAAGAGGATGCGTTGGTCAGGAGGCCGAAGGAGGAGGAGAAAAAGAAAGAGACGGAGGAGGAGTGAGAGGAGGAACAGGGAGGAGAGTGAGGAGAGGAGGAGGAGGAGGGTGTGAGGGGTGTTTGTGGTCTGGTATTTATTACACCGGCCTTGTGCTTTTAGACACTTGTGTGGATTTGTGGCCACAGAGCGTTATTACAAGGTCAGGTTCAAATTGTGGTTATTCGTAAATTAAAAAGACGGTAAAGGTGTTATGTAGGATTCATGCGCGTCTCTTCAGCGATAAAAGTGCACTGTGTAAGCCTGTCATGATAATTTATGACTTTCAATACATAAAAATAGATTGAACACTAATTTTTGGGTGTCAATATTTATCGTACATTTACTTTTTGTGCTATTTTTCTGTTCTACGATTAGATCCGAGCTACTAAACTGTTTCATTCTGCTGTTTATTTATTGCAGTCCATGTTTTTTAACCATATTTTACATACAGAATATTTTTTGAGGTCAAATTACATTACATTAGTTTCAATATTATCGATTATCGTGTGTATTTTCTTCATAAATACTCTATTGTAGTTCAGATTTTGTAATTGTGACAGGTCCAAGTGTACGTAACTTTCCCAGTGCATAGTCTTCGTCCTCGATTTGTTATTGTTTTGTTTGGCTTGTTCCGCAGTATGGCATTACACTTTACTTTTTTATTACTGGAAAAAGTAGACCCTGAAAGTCATGCGCTGTTCCTGTGAGTGGGTTCGCCTCTCCACAGATCTGATGAGTAATTTTCATTGAGTTCCAGAGAGATAAAGAAGATATGTAATCTCATTTTGTTTGTTTAAAGTTTAGTCCTGGTTTAGTCCTGGTTCAGTCCAGTCTTGTCTCAGTCCTGCTTCAGTCCTGCTTCAGTCCTGTTCAGTCCTGATACAGTTGTGACTTAGTCCTGGGTCCAGTTCTGGTCCAATCCTGGCTCAGTCTTGGCTCAGTCCTGGTACAGTTCTGATTTAGTCCTGGTTTAATCCAAGTGCTGTCCTGATACAGTCCTTGTTCAGGCCCTGTTTGGCCCTGGTCCATTTCAGGTCCAGTTCTGATTTAGACCTGGTTCAGTCTGCTCCAGTACTGGCTCAGTCCTTGTACAGTCCTGTTTCAGTCCTGGTACAGTTCTGATTTAGTCCTGGTTTAATCAAAGTTCTGTCCTGATACAGTCCTTGTTCAGGCCTTGTTCAGTCTTGTCCCTGGCTCAGTCCTGGTTCAGTCCTGACTCAGTCCTGCTTTAGTCCCAGTTCAGTCCTGGTTCAGTCCTGGTTTGTATTTTTTTAGTTAATATTTTTTTATGCACAAAAACCCTGATTTGCAAGTGGACTAGTCAGGACTAAACGTGTTTCATAATAACCCTCGATTTGGCGATGTAGATTTGGAGAGTCGTCGCCTGCTTGTCTCCATGGAGATATTGTTTAAATGTCTCACAGTGTGGCATTAAAGTGACCTATTGTGCATTTATTCAATCACAAACATTTTTACTGCGTACAAAAATGCATATATTATGAATGTAAATGGTGCGCCTCTCCACAGATCTGACTTTTGGTGAAGTTTAAGGCTGTAATATGGGACATTCTTGGCAAAACACAAACATGACTGAATTGGATTATTTGTCTGACTCTCCCGGCCGTGGTGTGAGGTTCGTGAGTGATCTACAGCCTCGTCAGTCGGAGTCGGGGTTGGTCAGGGCCAGAGGAAGCCTGATATTTGAAGAGCTACTTAACGTAATCATTGACTGCGCTTCACGGGCCTGAAGCGCCTTTGGTCAAGAGGAACGCGCCCCGTCAAGTGGACGCACACATGAAATTGTGTTTCTCCTGAATGAGTCACCTCTCCGCTCTCCGCTCATAAGAGAGTGTGATACTTAGTGAAATAATAAGAGCACGGCGCATAAAATGATTTCTTAACCTCCTGCAAAATCACTGATTTATTCGTGTTTAGATTAACTGTGGCAATTAGAGCTGCGTGAGTTTATAATAATGTTTATAATAATGTTAATATCACAATATCTGCATAATTATCCATATTGTAAGAAACTGCAGCTCTCCGTCTGACAGAAATGTAGTGTGTTTTTAATATCAGCCATTTTGATTATTTAAAAAGTAAAAAAGACAGATTTTAGTCATGATTTTTCTTAAGTTGGTCTTCATTTATTTGTTTTTCACTTTGAATTTGAATTAATGCGCTATGTTTCAATTTGACTGCATTCATTTTGTGAATATTTTGTCCAATTTTTTCTATTTTTGATTATATTTACATAACATTTTATGTTAAAAAAAAAATCCTGAGGTCCGAGGGCCAGGTCCAGCTTGTGGGGCCTAAAACGAGACTTAAAACCAGGGGGGAATGTAAATTGTTTTACATTGCTATGTGAAGAACTTTGGAAACTCTTATTTATAAAATGTGCTATACAAATAAAGTTGGATTGAATATACTCTAAAATTTGAATGATTGAATGAATGATTAAATTCTATTGCCAAAGTAATTGTGAACTAATAATAATATTTTCAGTCTCTCCATGGGGTCTTAGAATGTTTGACGATAAATAAATGCATGCCTAGAAACAGTTTAAATAGTAATAACATTATTTTTTATTTTTATTTATCTCTTTTTCAGAGCAACTCGCTGCTTCCTGAAAGTCTACGAAACTCAGACAAGAGACGAAACGGACCAGAGTTTCCAAACGACACCAAGAAAAGAAAAGTGGACGACAAAGACTCCAGCCACTATGTGAGTTTGAATTTAAAAGTTTGGTTAAAGTCGCACTATGTAACTTTTTTGCTGAACGGTCTGCAGTCTGCTTGTCTCCCTGGAGATGTTACAACTTTGCCTAGAATTTCCCACAGTTTGGAATTAAACCGTTTATCTCCATGGTGATGAGTAGAGCAACGTTACAGGTCAGATCTTTGTAGAGGCGACGCTGTTAATAATAAAAATCTGTGTTGTTTGAGAAATAAAAACACCCATTATTAGGGATGTAACAATAACCGAAATATTGTGATATCGTATTGTCAGAGTTCTCACAATAATATCGTGGACCATCACAATATATCGAATTACAAGTGTCTTTGCTTAAATTGCTTTCCTTTCTTGCAGGACAGCGATGGTGAGAAAAGCGACGATAACTTGGTAGTGGATGTTTCAAATGAGGTTGGTGTTCTGTTTTCCCGTCAGATTTTGTGTTTCATTTCTGTCGGGCGTAAGTTTGACCACCTGTGTGTTCGTGTGCAGGACCCCGCTTCTCCCCGGGGCACGCCGCTCCCCTCCCCACGAGAGAACGGTTTAGACAAAGCGCGAATGTTGAAGAAGGACCCCTGCAGTCCCGCCTCCACCGCGTCATCGGCGAGCTCCTCCTCACTCAAGTCCAAAGAGATGGCCATGGTATGAAGAAAAAAAAAAGACTGTTATTGCAATACTAATATCCAGTGTTGGGGAGTAACAGATTACATGTACTTGAGTTACGAAATCAGAGTACAAATTATGAGTAACTGTATTCAGTTACAGTTACTGTTTCAGTGAGTGGTAATTGGATTACAGTTACTTTGTTGAAATAAATGGATTACACAGCGATATTTTCCTGTTTTCACATTTTGGGCTATATTTTTCAGTAATTCCAGTCATTGCCGGAAACTAAACTAGTTCTAAACTAGATCTAAACCAGGTCTAAAACCAGGACTAAACCAGGTCTAAACTAGAGCTAAACCAGGACTAAGACCAGGTCTAAACTAGTTCTAAACTACATCTAAACCAGGTCTAAAACCAGGACTAAACCAGAAATAAAATCAGGTCTAAACTAGATCTAAACCAGGTCTAAACCAGGACTAAACCAGAACTAAAATCAGGTCTAAACTAGATCTAAACCAGGTCTAAACCAGGTCTAAACCAGGACTAAACCAGAACTAAAATCAGGTCTAAACTAGATCTAAACCAGGTCTAAACCAGGACTAAACCAGAACTAAAATCAGGTCTAAACTAGATCTAAACCAGGTCTAAACCAGGACTAAACCATCCTAGTCTTTGCTACTCTACAGCAAATCAAGTAATCCAAAGTATTTAGATTATGTTACTCACCTTAAATAACTTAATGGATTCTGTTACAAACTACATTTTGGGGTATGTAATCTGTAATCTGTAGGGGAATACATTTTAAAAGTAAACTTCCCAACTCTGCTAATATCAAATGCTTTTTGATACTAGGAAAAGTTGAAATCATAATTTTAATGCAAACAAATAGCAAATCACAAAGATTGCAATTTTAGGAGTAACATAATTTCTTCCACAAAATATTCTGTCTTACTTTGCTTCTTTTATCTGCTAACACTGTAGTTTAGATCTGCACAAACATCTTCTGAAATGTGATTCTTCTGTTAGTTTCAGTTCATATTTCAGTCTCTTTCAGTTTCATATGTTTTTATTCTTGTGTAAACAGATATAGATGCGTCATTCAGACAACACATGTACACACACTTTTTTTCATTTTTATGTGCAGAAAACAAAGCTTGCAACCTTGAGGAAATATGAAGAAACTCGAGTAGCGTCTTACAATATAATAATAATGTTTTATTTAATCATTTGAAAGGCGGTGCGTGCAGACGTAGCGGCCTCTTACTCTTCCAGTCCAGTTGTTTCCGCTTGGGACAGAGAGAAACATATTTTCAATTAATTTGTGTGTCAAGTACAAGTGAAGAAATTGACAATAAAGCTATAACTTTTAACATTTTTTTAAATAATATACGAATAATGAATATACTACTACTATTATTAATAACAAGCAAAAATGTAATAATAATAATAACAATAATAATAATAATAAAAATCATAATGAATAAAAAATAACATGGAGTGGCATTGGCTTAGACTTTTAAAAAATAAATAATAAATATTAATCGTAAAAAAAATCATTAATCATAATATAAAAATCATAATAAATAAAAAAAAATAACAAAAAGGGCGGTGGGGTTGGCTTACACTGTTTCAAAAATGTCAGTAAATATCTTTCAGTCTTTTTGTCAATTCTTTAAAATGTGAATCTTGTGAACAGAGTCCTATTATACATACATACATACATTTCAAAATTAATCACGGTACTTTTTAAAATAAATGAAATTCATTAAATACAATCAATCAATTAAAATATTGTCCCACTTTAACCATGTCCTTTTAACTGTTTGTTTTAATAGTATTTAACTCGTTTATGTTGTTGTACAGCGACCTTGAGTGTCCAGAAAGGTGCCTAATATACAAAAAAGTATTTGTCAGGAAAAAAAACACAAATATTTTCCCCGCAACCTTCAGTCGTATGATCAGTCCAGACAAAATTTTAATGTTAAAAATGATTGATTATTTTAACAGTAACCAAACAACAGTCAGGCCCTAATTTTCTGTCATTCACGTTTTACTCACCCTTCTTCTAGTTTGTTACCAGCTTTATGAAACACTAAACAGCCAGAAAAGAAATCACGTGAAGAACAGATTTAAGTAAAATTGCTGGGTCTTTATTGTTTGGTCTTGGAAGCTCATGGCAGCTCACAGTATTGATTTCTGCTCAAATCAGTGTCTAGTTTTTCAATACTAGTTTAGGGTTAATTAGTGTATTGATTTATTGAACAGCCCCACATGTGTCCAAGGTGAAAGTAGCGTAAAAAATAAATGGAATTTCATTGTAATATTAAACTTGTGCTTACAGCGGGAGAAGGCGGGTACTCCAGGGCTGAAGTCCAGTACACCCACTCCCAGAGGCGACTCCACCCCAGGACCGAGCTCCACTCCTGGGATCAGACCGAGCCTCGCCAAGCCGCCCTCCATGGAGCTCCCACATCCTCCCGGTAACTACACGATAATATGTTAGCGTGATAGTTGTCGATAACTTTATTCTGATGGCGACATTACTGTGGCAAAATTCTGCTCTGACCACTGAAAGTTGTGAAAAATGCTTAGAAACTCATTGTGGTGAATAGTTAGGATGCTCAGATCTCTTTAGGGAAGTGAGGAATAAGTTTGGACTGATTAAAATGAACTAGTTTTGTTTTTTATGTTTTAAAAAATCTCTAAAGTGACAATTTAACATTTCCTTTTAGACCGTACATGTCAGTCTCTCCTCCGTCACTGACCCTTGTCTCTGTGCAGGTGCAGGTTTGAGGACTCCCCTGGCTGTTCCAGGTCCGTACCCGGGAGCGTTTGGGATGTTGCCTCACGGGGCGGGGATGAACGGGAATGAGCTGGCCGGAGCGGCGGGGGCAGCGGCGTACGCGGCTGGAATCCACAACATGTCCCCCCAGCTGAGTGCAGCTGCAGCGGCCGCTGTGGCAGCCTACGGACGCTCCCCCATGGTCAGTGCTCTGCTCAAACCGAGTAATCAATAACATGATTATCGACAATACATCACGCTCTCATGGTCTGTAAACACATGCACTCAGGGCTCAACAATAGGGCAAAATAATAATACATTGAAAAATAATACCAATATTTGTATAATATTTGACTTTCTCATATTAAGAACAAATGCATGTGGCTTTCTTCTGTTTTACGTTTTATGCTTTATGAATAAGAACTTCGCACATCAGTTACTTGAGGCTGCTGTGCTGAAGGAGAGGGAGCAGCCCAAGAACATAGAGAAAAATTCTGCACACTCTATTTAAGATGGCCATCTGAGCTCTCATTCTGTTTGCCTGATGAAGGTCTAATGCTGAAATGTTGCTAATATATCTCACATTTTGCAAGTTAGACGGTGTGCGGGATTTTTCTCTCTGATAGTATGTACATAAACAAGACTTTTAATACCATTTAACACAGGGCTGTCAAACTCAAATTCACAGAGGCCAAAATTAAAAACTGGGACTAAATCGTGGGCCAAACTAAATATTTATTAAAAAATTTCAACAACATCTGCATGTTTTCTCTTCTTTCGAGATATGTAATGTTAAACTTTTTCTTATCAACATAAATGTTTAATAATAGTTTTGCTTAAACTTCATCCAGAACAACCAGAATATAAAATAATAACACAATTTTAAATGAATAATGTCTCTATAATCTATCTGTAGCCGATGGGCAGCTCTAATACATATTTCATATGATCTCATGGGCCAAATATAATTATATCACAGGCCAAATATAGCCCCCGGGCCTGAGTTTGACATGTCTGATTTAACAAAACAAATCAATACTCTCCAGGCAGCAGTGTTTTAATGACAGATAATTGACCATAAACCTGCAGATTAAACCACAAGCTGCTCATTTACTATTTGAAACAGAGTTATTTATTTTAAAGAGATAATAAGTAAATTAGGGCTAAACCAGGTTGAAAGTTTGCCCATATGTGGATATTAGATATTAGATATATATATTAGTGTGTGTGTGTGTGTATATAAGTATGTGCTTGTGTGTCATAGCTATAGTTTCTGTCCTTCTCTTCATCGCCTCATCTTTCCTCCTCTTCATCACTTCATCTCTCAGTGTTTACACAGCGTTCATTAGAGTTTAAATGGTCTGAGAGCGGCAGAGCTGTTTACAGAGCCAGACCTGTGTGTTTGCTCTCTCTACGCTCTTTCTCTCCCTCACCCTCTCTCCTCTCTCCTCTCTTTTCTCTCTTTCATTCCTCCCTCCCTCTCTCTCTCTCTTCTGTTTGTCCTCTGAGGGGCTGAGTCAGGACACTGTTGACCTCCTCCGCTCAGACTCAGCCCGTTAGCCCTGCTCTGCTCTGCTCATAGTGGTGTGTTTACTCTTCAGGTCGGCTTTGATCCACATCCACACATGAGGGTCCCGGGTTTGCCCCCGAATCTGATCCCCGGAGGAAAACCGTGAGTACATCCTGAATTATTTCAACTTTATATCAAACTCATAACGTTTTATAAAGTGATGACTTGGTTGTTTCCTCTTCAAAAACAAACCTGGAGTTGCGTTTTGTTCCATTCACACATTTTTAAAGCACAAGTCCTGCATATTTAGGCCGAGTTCTTCTCTCAAACTGAAAACACCTCCACCTTGTGATGTCATGTGGGAAAACAGGAAGAGCTCCACTGTATTTTTTAACTCTTTGCACCTTCAGTAGAATCATTTGGACAACTTCAGACCTGGAATTGCCAATCTCTGCTGAACAAAAGATAAAAGAAGCTGTTCACTTGAAAATTACCGCTTCATGACATCACAAGGGGGAACAACTACTGTAATTTCTGGACTATAAGCCGCTACTTTTTTCTCACACTTTGAACTAATAAAACAATGTGGCGAATATATGGACGGATTCTTTGTTTGGCACATTGCACATTCATATTTATCTATGATCTCTATCTAAATCTATGATTTATCTATTATCTATGGTTTGGCAACACAGCGGATACACACAGCCTGAGTGCAGAAAACACCGCTGTCTGTGTGGTTACACATGGATCTAGGGTTCACATGAAGTTGCTACACAAGCTAGAAATATTGTCAGTGCACTCAAATAGTTTATCGGCGTGTAATAAAATAAGTTATGATGCTAAATGAACATTAGTGAGGGGGATGCGTCTTACCCGTGTGCATAAATGACGAGAAGAAACGTCTCAAACTTCAGTAGCCAGACATCCACTCAGACCTGTTCGATAGAACTAACCCCGCCCCCGAGAGAGTCTGAAATCCTCCAAGACACTGACATGATACAGACAGGACAGAGGCTCTTTCTGCAGGAGACATGCGCAGTAGAGCACGGGGAGAGGAAGATGCTTGTTTGATTGTGTTTTGAACAGTTATTTGCGCTTCATACACACACCCTCCTCATGGAAAACAGATGATGCAGCTTTTAAGTTAACGGCGATTGATGCGGATGTGGAAGAAGTAAACAGAGCTGCTGCATGTGAGCTCGGTGTCAGTGAGTCGATGGTGAGATTTTAGCGACGGCGGAGTGACGAACTGACTCAACGCAAAAAGACAACAAAAACTTTCAGAGGCGATAAAAGCAGACAGCCCGAAGTTGAAAACGTTCTTGAAGACGTGGACACCTGCGGCTTATATTCAAGTATGGTCTATATATGTACAATTTTGAAATTTAGTTATAATTTAGTTGATGCGGCAAATATTCAGGTGCACTCAATAGTCCGGAAAATACGGTAATAAACAAGGGTGTGAATGAAACAAAACACAGCAGGGTATGTTTGTGTTTAAGGTAACAACATTCTAACTTGGGTAAAAATTCTCAAGAGTCCATTTTAAATATTATAAGACCTTTAATAGTGTAATTTCTCTGGTGCCGTTGCAGTGCCTACTCCTTCCACGTGGCGGCGGACGGGCAGATGCAGCCGGTGCCTTTCCCTCCGGACGCGCTGGTGGGCCCGGGCATCCCTCGCCACGCTCGCCAGATCAACACACTCAACCACGGCGAGGTGGTGTGCGCGGTGACCATCAGTAACCCCACCAGACACGTGTACACGGGAGGGAAGGGCTGTGTCAAAGTGTGGGACATTAGTCACCCCGGCAACAAGAGCCCCGTGTCCCAGCTCGACTGTCTGGTGAGTCACAGGGACAAATATGATCATGAGGTTAACTGTGGCTGCGCAATGGGGCGGTACGAGACACGAGATTAGGTCCAAGATGAGATTTGACATGATTCATATTAAATTGTGCAGTTTGCTTCACCATTTTTATTTACTTTATTTAATACTGATGCTTCTTTTTGAAACTACAGCCTCTTTATAGAAGTAACTCGCCACCACTGAACCCTTTTCTGTCCAATCTGAATCTAAACGCATCGAAATAAATCTCAAGATCATATTTATCGCGTCTTGTGGCAGTGTTGTCTCGTGGGAACTTGTGGCACGAGCAGTTGTTCCATCCTTACGGCGCAAAATGTTGCAATTTCCACTGTAAATATGGCAAAACTGATAATTTTATGTGTGAACTTTTATTATTCAGGGGTTTCTGGCAAATTATTTCTGCCTGATTTATTATCGTAAAATGTACAATGAAGAAAAAAAACATATATAATTTGCATTTTGGGGGGAAATTTACGATGAATCGCAGCAGGAGTCACATTTCAAGAGATATTTCTTGTCGCTGGACTTGTATTCTCCTCTAACGCGATAACACTACTGCGTGACATGTAAACAAACTTCATCGGGGCATGGCCGGGTTTGGTTGTGCAGGTGTGAATGTGGAACATAAAAACAGAACATTATTTCTGCCTGATATAAAGAATTATTTCGTCAGGACCTTTCCCTATTCTAAAAATATAATATTTTGATTTGAATTATTGTTTTACTTTGATAACAGAGTGCTGGAAGGAAGGAATACTTGTGCCTGAAACCTGTGAATAACTTAACTTGACTATAACAAAAAATTAATAATATTGTAGGGATCAAAACTGAAATCTCACCATAATATCGTGGACCATCACAATAAATCGAATTACAAGTGTCTTTGCTTAAATTAAGAGTAATGGTGCAGCAATAGTTAAAACAAAAGACAGAGGGAACTACATAGACCATGATCCTTTGCTCCGTTCAGTGCAGACTACAAGAAGAAATAACAGTTCTAAACACTTTTAAGTCTTAGTTCTTTGGATTAATTCTTGTCAGGGCATTTTAAGAAGAAAAAGTAGCATATTAATAGTTTTATTAGCCTCCACAAAATATCCTGCACACAATAAATATCGTACCTTGAGATGTATATCGGGAAAATATCGAACCGAGAGATTTGGATATTGTTACATCCATAATCGTGAGCGTCCCCACCATATCGTGAGTTTTCCCACGATATCTCAATAAATATCGTACCTCGAGGTTCATACTGTGACGATACCGTATCATGAGACTTGGATATCATTACACCCCTAGTGATAATCATATCGTCAAAAGTCTCAATAATACTAACTACCTACTAACTACTAATAACTACATATCCCATGATTCATTTCAGTGCAAACAACATGAAGAAATATGTTTTTTTACTTGAATTCTTTGGATTATTACAGAAATAATTCACACCAAAAACTTGTCAAGGTATTTTAAAAGCAAAAAAGTGTCCCATCTACAATTATATTAGCCTCTTCAAAATATCACAATAAATATCGTACCGTGAGATGTATATCGTGATAATATCGTATCAAAAGATTTTATTACATCCCTATAATACTGGTATGGGCTATCGAACACAACTGCAAGACAAATCTGGTATGTGAGTATTGGATCAAAAATCCATATTGAACCACTGTAAGATTCATTTTATCCTTTTGTGGTGCAGTCATTTGTTTATCAGAGCTGGAGATACTGGCCTTTGGTTAATTTAACAACAGTTTAGAAAGCGTAGAAAAGTGTAGAAATAAAGACATTTATCCCTTCATGTTGACTTGACTGCAAAGGATCATGGTCTTTGTAGTTCTCCTTCTAAATAAATTTTTCTCTCTGGAGATGATCACATTTTGAATCCCAGTGAGAATGAAAACGACTCCTTGATTTATTAAACATGTTTTGTGTTTTGTCTCAACAGAACCGTGATAACTACATCCGCTCGTGCCGCCTCCTCCCTGACGGCCGGACGCTGATTGTCGGAGGCGAGGCGAGCACGTTGTCCATCTGGGACCTGGCCACGCCCACTCCGCGGATAAAGGCGGAGCTTACCTCATCAGCGCCGGCGTGCTACGCTCTGGCGATTAGCCCCGACTCCAAAGTGTGCTTCTCCTGCTGCAGCGACGGAAACATCGCCGTGTGGGACCTGCACAACCAGACGCTAGTCAGGTACAGACGGATAGTTAACTTTTATTTATTATAAATTAATCTGCAATAGTCAATGATTAAGTCTTTTTACTGGAAACACGGTTTGGACCAGAGTTCAGATTGTGAATTAGTAATTTAACTAATTTAGGTGATTAAAAGTCGGTATTGTTTACATTCAGGAAACTAATATTAAAAGCCATTTTGTATTTATTTTTTGTCAGAAAAAATAAAATGTAATGAAATTTTAAATCAATATCGCCAGGGTTTAACTCACTTGACCCTGATGACGCGCAAAATTCAGATGGGGGCAGGAAGTGTTTTGTCCGCTATGGAGAAAAAATAAGTCTTAGTATAGGTCATGACCCGGACAATATGGAGAAGTCAGACTTTTCATACAATTTGGACGATTTTCCCAGTGTTGAGGTGATGGATATAATACATTATCTGGTGCTGCAGACCTCATATTACACTGAGCCAAATGAAAACCTTTAAAAGCCTGGAGGCGTACGACTGTTTAGAATTAAAATCACCCGCTGCACTAGGATCAGCAAAAATAATGATTAAAAAAGGTATAAAACACCAAATTACAACAGTAAGATAATAAATTTGCACCACATGAAGCTTTTTGTGTGACAAGTTAGGACGTATAATGCAACAGTTTACAGTCACTTATGATGCTTGTGTTTCTAAATGATTTGAAAATATAAATATAAAATGAAAATATAAAACTTTGAAAATATTAATTAAGAAATGACACAATCCTTTACCGGTTACAAAGTGGTCGCTGCAAACTCGAGCGTCGTCCTTTTCCGCGCCTCCTGTTTTTAGCCAGAGATTGTTGATCCACTTTTTTCTGTTTAAAACTAATTCCCTTGTTTTTTTTTTGGTACACGAAAAAAAAACAACTTTTGTCTTTCTCCCATTTAAAGCGATTGCAGCAACCATAAATTGCACAGAAATTAGGCGCTGAGTCTGCGAAGGTAAACAAGGTTCTGTGCATCTGTTTTTACTTCCTGACCCTAATCTGCTTTTGGTGACGCTTGACGTGAAATCCAGCAATAAGTAAAAATATAGTGTACATTTTTGAAATAATAAAATAATAATGTCTTAGGCAAATGTAACATATTGCCATAGAAAATATCATGTTAAACAATAATTATCTTTTTTGACTGTAAAATATGTGTCAGGTTTTGTTGGATAGACTCCACATGAGTGAGTACAGCTCTTAAACATCTCTCGTCGTTGGTTCCCACAGACAGTTCCAGGGCCACACAGACGGAGCGAGCTGCATCGACATCTCCAATGACGGGACCAAACTGTGGACTGGAGGTTTGGACAACACTGTGCGCTCATGGGACCTGAGGGAGGGACGACAGCTGCAGCAGCACGACTTCACCTCACAGGTAACAACACTCCTCTGGATCACTGACTCTTTACTTTTATCAGATGATTTACCTTTAATTCTAAAAGTGGTTTCACTCATATTACTGCTTTTTTTTTTACTACGCATCTTCAAAACACTATTGTCTTGCTGATGTTACTGTGTTTTTCAGACTCTTTCACTCTGGAGTATAAGTCACACCAGCCAAAAAAGCCCAATGAAGAATAAAAAAACATAATAAGTCACATTTTTGGGTGGAAATTTATGATTAATTGCAGCAAGATTCACATTTAAGAGATATTTCATGCTGCTGGACTTGTATTCTCATCTAAAGCCACAGCACTACTGAGCGACATGTAAACAAACTTCATCGGGCCATGGCTTGGTTTGATTGTGCAGATGTGAATGCGGAACATAGAACTTTACGCCTTTGTGCTTGAGCAGGGCACGGTTCAAAAATCCTAGTGTGAGTGCTCCCTTTATAAGTTTAAGTTTAAATTTTACAGATTTTCAGAGGTACAGGAGTAATAGGAACAGCAGATATTGACACACCCGCCTTCTCGCAGCTGTTAGTGTGAAAATAATAAACGTGAAATTATTTATTTTTATATATATAATTCGCACCAGAGTATAAGTCGCAGGAAACACCTAAACCATGAAAAAAAGTGCGTCTTATAGTCCGAAAAATACGGTACATCCTCCTATCTCCTGCATGTTGTAGTCAGATATGTTTAAAGGTCCCAAATTGACCCCTGTGAGCTTTAAGTCATGTTAGAATATACCTGGAGTTGTGTTTTGTTTCATTCACACATTTGAGGCGACGTTTATGTGATGACGGTTTGAACAGAAGACGCAAAAGTGGTGCAGCGTCTTCACTTTTTATTCTGTGTTTAGACAAGTGTTTTCGGGAGGAAATCTGCGTGCATACGGTGACGCAAAAGTGTGTGGGATTCGATTGTGTATGCGTGTCAGGTTTCTGTGTACAGTACTGTACGTATGTGACGTAAAGGCGTACGCAACGTGAGCAGATCTGATCAGAGTTTTGCGTCTTGGGCAGTGTAGACGGAAACACTACGGTGGAGCGTATTCAACTTTTCCACTCTGGAGGGTGGTTTCAGTTTTCAGTTTGAGTTTTTAAGCCCCAAAAACGCTGTCACCGTCTAAACAAAAGGCACTTCCGATAAAATATTGCGGCGTTTTTGTGTAAACAGGCCCTGAGTAACCCTTTATTCCTACCTATATATTCCACCTTGTGATTTCATGAAGCGGTAACAGCTCCTTTTACCTTTTGTTTAGTAGAGATCAGCAATTCCAGGGCTGAAATGATCCAAATGATTCTAGTGAAAGTGTATGGAGTTTAAAAACACAGTGGAGCACTTTTTGTATTACCACAAGACAGAGAACTCTATATATATAGAGTTTGTGTGTTAAACGTGTGAATGAAACAAAACACAACTCCAGGTCTGTTTGTGATCAGGAAACAACATTGACTTCTATAAACATGAATGAAAATTTCTCGACCTTCCTGTTCTGAACGATCTTAACCCTGTGTTCCAGATCTTCTCTCTGGGCTACTGTCCCACAGGCGAGTGGTTGGCCGTGGGGATGGAGAGCAGCAACGTGGAGGTTCTTCACGTCACCAAACCCGACAAATACCAGCTGCACCTGCACGAGAGCTGCGTGCTGTCCCTGCAGTTCGCCTACTGTGGTACGACTTCTGCTCTGTTCAACCTGTGGACGCATGTTTAACTGTTTTCATTAGGGCCGGGTGTCATTAAGAAGTGTCCGATACGATACATAGGCCAAGATACGATACGTTTTTCGATACAGCGCACTTTTGATTCAATACGATATGCTTTAGATCGATTTGATACTGGCTCTGATACTAAAAGTCTAGTAAGTCCACTGAGTTTGTGCAGAGTTAATATGAAAAACACCAATTTTAATCATCAAAACAGTGAAAATGTCAACACAACTGTAGCTTTTACGCAAAATAATCAAGTGAAATATACCTAAAAATACTCTTGGCGATATAGCGATACAGCAGCCCATGATATCAATACTGTATCATCACATTAAATGATACAATAAATCGAGAGTGTTTTGTTTTTGATGTTGAGGTCAAAATGTAATTCTTCTGTTTTCCTTTCGCAGGTAAATGGTTTGTGAGCACAGGAAAAGACAACCTGCTGAACGCCTGGAGGACCCCCTACGGCGCCAGCATATTCCAGGTGGGATTATCAATCATTTATAGAATAGTTAAAACTTTATAAATTTGTATTTTGGATTTGGAATTAACTTATGGTCCTGGTTTTGTATGTTACTTTTTTATTCATATTTCTGACTGTCTCTGGAGTTAAAAAAGGATGTAACTATCACCTCAAATCCACTGGCACCTTGTGATCGAATTAATAACTTTGTTTTCTAATTGATCATATAGATTAATTTGTTGGCAGTCTACTTATTTGGCAAAGGAGATATTCAATTTGTCAACTGGACAAACGTTTATTTAGGTCAAAAATGTTTTGCAGCTCATCCAAGCTGCTTCTTCAGTTCGGATAAATGAGCTTGAATGAGCTGCGAAACGTTTTTGACCTAAATAAACTTTTGTCCAGTTGACAAATGTAATTTCTCCTTTGCCATGGATTCTACCTGGACGACGGAGGGATTTTACTCACAATCTACTTAGCTGTTGAGCATGGCGTTTGTTTTATACTCTGCTCTGTTCTTTGGAGTATCAACTAACCTTTATCATATTTATCCACTTGAACAGTCAAAGGAACTGTATGTAGTCTGTGCTCTTACTGTTTTATAAAAGGAACAGGAACCTGTGTGGTTAGAGCCTTCACCCGCAGACAGAGAACAGATACAAGAAGTTCTTAGTCTCAGTTTATGGACGGACCTCATGCGAAAGCTCAGAACCTCCAGAATTCCCTCCCTGAGCTGCAGAGGCTGCACTAGCACTGACTCATGACTGTCTGCAGGTCCTGGGGTTTAAGTAGTGAACATTCAGATCAGAGAGAAGCATTTTAGGTTTAAACCAACTGGATTTCAGAAAAAACAAAAATGTGGCCGTTTGCTACAGGTGTTTCAATCAGTGGGAGCAGGTAGAGGGTGCTCTTGGAAAAAGGATCAAAACTTAAAAGACAGTGGACTCCAGGCACTCCAAAGAAGTAAAAATCACACAAGGAAAAATAAAGTTAAAAGGCCTTTATTTAAATGGCCAAAGCCAACATGTTTTGACCAACCTGGTCTTCATCAGAGCTTAGTTAAAAAACAGAACATGGGTGTGACCTTTAAGCAAAACACACCAACCAATAGTAGAGACTGGAGCTGATTAGACTGGATTTCATCTTTAAAACTGGCAACACAAATGAGACTCTCTTGTGAGGCTTATTCTTCTTACTGATTGGATAATTGTCTTGAGAACCAAAACATCAAATTATACCACATGTCCAATGTTTTTGTCATTTAGAATAAATTAGCGTTACAATTTTTATCATTAAGACCTTAATTGGATTCTAACACAGTGACATGTTTATGAAATTAAAATAAATTCTTACACAGTGGCCACGTTTACATGATGTTTTTTAATTCCGAATTAATTGCTCTGAATTAAAATATTCTCCATTGAGTTTACATGGAAATAATAATTTTGAATTGAGGTTTACACGGAAAACACGTTAAATCCACTTTATTTAATTCCGTTCGACGTCTGGGGGTGGGGAAGGATTCTGATTGGACAAGAGACACGAACATATTTACGTCGAATGGAAGAAAACACGCACTTCAGCTGCTATCGGCTTTTTTGTCATCTCTGTTTGTCGTTACGCCACAGACACAAACATGATCCAAACTTTTTCGCAGTCGTTTCAATGATAATGAAGCAGCAGCTGAAGAATTCTCTCATCACGCTTTACGTCTGTCGGCTGAGGAGAAGAAGGGAAGACAGGGCAGCCACGGGGTCTTAAAAGTCTGTTAAAGGTCTTAAATTTCATGTTCCTAAATTAAGGCCTTAAAAAGTCTTAAATTATGTTGTCCAAGTCTTATTTTTTTCGCAAAGGTCTTAAATTTCATCAGCCTATTTTTTTGTTTACTCAACCAGGCTGCAGTGCGATGTTAACTGGAGGGAGGGTAAAAAAACAACAATTTTGAGTATGTGCAAACAATACTATGGTTTTTGGCGCCGGCGGCAACGAGTAAACAATCATTTCCGTCTACACTGCCCGAGACGCAAAACTCTGGTCAGATCTGCTCACGTCGTGTACGCGTTTACGTCACATACATCACCACCGAGTCGCCTGGCATGCTTACACAATCGAATTCCACACACTTTTGCGTCACCGTATGCGTGCAGATTTCCTCCCGAAAACGCTTGTCTAAACAGGGAATAAAACGTGTAGATGCGACGCCACTTTTGTGTCTTCTGTTCAGCCCGTCATCATATAAACGTAGCCTTAGATTCTAGATGTAGTACCGGTAGTTGGTTGGTCATTATTAGAATTAGATCTGGTGTTTTTCGCCTGCGTAATGGGTGCGGCGTTGGTCTTAATTTTCATGTAAGTGGTCTTAAAAAGGTCTTTAAAAAGTCTTAAATTTGCGGTAGTCAAACCCGGGGGATACACTGGAAGAGTGTCAGAGAAGGGAGGAAGAAGAAAAACTGAGTCGACGGCTGCTCTACCTCAGCCCGCATCCCGCTCGCAAATCCAAAGAGAAGTGGATGAAAGTCCGAAGTGAGGCCTGGTGGAGCTGGATTGAAGAATAAACGTTTACATGATCGAGGAATAAATAAATTTGGCTTTAAAATCGGAATAAACAACCCACTTATTTTGACGTTTTCATTAGGAATTAAGTGTTTACATGGTCTTTCTAAAGCGGAATACATTTTTATTTGGAATTTACCCTCTCAGGCTCAAATTAAATTTTAGTAACAGGAAAAAATCTGATATTTGGGGAAAATGATCATATGGGGTAGTAATATGATGGATGATTTTAATTGGTTGTTTATGGAACAAACCATTCTGCACTGAAGCACTGTAACACTTTATTTTGTAATTGTGATTTTATGTGTGTTTTGTGGATGAATGAAATGTGAAATGTGGAACCTGTCTCTCAAATCTGCAAAGCAAATTTACCTACGGGTACGAATAAAGCAACTAAACCTAACCTATATACAATCCTTACTTTTTTTGAGAGAGACCTTCACATCCAGTGCGTTCAGGGATGTTGCAGATTTGCAACATTGGTCCGGTGTGATAAATTAACACTGAAGACTGAAAATGCTATGAACGCTAAGTTTATTTGTATATCACTTTTCATAACAATGAAAACATAAAGCACAGTGTAACAGCTTTACAGTGGCAGAACAACATCACTTTTTCATGTGGTGCTCCCAGAAACAATAATTTATCCTTTGCAACGTCTGCCTGGAGAGGGCTAAAGCTCTCATGTAAACGTGGCAAGTGTCTCATTAACAGTTTTATGTAAAATTACAGAATGACGTCTTACACCTTCTCACGTTTACGTTCTTGTTTCTTTCAGTCCAAGGAGTCCTCGTCCGTGCTGAGCTGTGACATTTCCGTCGACGATAAATACATCGTCACCGGGTCAGGAGACAAGAAGGCCACCGTCTACGAGGTCATCTACTAGAGACAGACAGACCCGCCTCTGTGTGGAGCTGCCGCCCGTTTCCTTTGAACGCACCCAGAGCTCTCCGCCATCTTTGTATGGGCCACTGACAACGCCTCAACCGCCATGTTTGTGAGGGAAACTGCTCAAATCCTCTCAACGGTATTTCTGTGAGAGCAACTTCTAACTGCTAAACGCGATATTCGCCATGTTTGTGAGGGCAACTACTAATGTCACTTCCGCCATCTTTGGAAGGGGAACCGCAAGAAGCTAACTTCGCCATCTTTTTAAGGGCAACTCCTAATGCCTCATCTCCCATCTTTGTAAGGGCAACTGCTACTCAAGCGACTCTATACAGGATAACTGCTAAAAAAACAAAATCACCTCCGCCATCTTCGTGAGGGCAACTGGTCAACAGCATCTTCCGCCATCTTTGTCAGGGGAACTGCCAACGCCGCTTCCGCCATCTTTGGGAGGTCAACTGCTAATTCCTCAATATTCCCGCCATTATTTCCGTGAGGGCAACTGCCGCTCGAGCCACTCTGGACAGGACCATTTTGTCAGATATCCAGGCACATATCCAGCGTTCGAGAGCGGGAGGAGGAAACCGGAGATTCTTGAATTATTTTACACTGAGAGTTATATTGACAATGATGAACAAATCCGCTTCGATACACAGCGCTCTCGAGATCTTACCGGAACGAACGGAAATGCAGATATCGCGTCGGCCATGTTGGGAAGGACAATTTTGCAGAGACTGTTTTTGCGGACTGCCTTTTTGACCCTAGAACCTCAGCTTGCCATTGTAAAACACGTCGCATCTATGTTTATTATTATGTCCTATTGAACTGCATTGTGTTCAGAATGTGATTATAGACGTGGTACAAACTGAAAACGGTAGCTTTCGAAATCAAATTAAAAGCTACTCGTGCGTACAATAGCGGTGAACACGCTCTCATCAGGTTTGTCTTAAATTCCTGCTTATAGAAATGACGCAAAAACGCAGACACAATTTATGATCGCTAAGAAACTAAACTGATATAAATATGTCGTAAGATTAAATAATAATGCAGTTGTGAGTTTCGGTTCGTTTAAATGGTACCAAGCCTTGCCACAATGTCTTACTACACGGGACCAACTCTAAACCCTTTAAAATACTCGTTATCAGAATGTTCAAAACTCACATTTAGGCACCGTCATTTTCATATTTTCAGTTATGTTGACAAAAAAAATAAACTACATTTGAATTTTCTGGTGTTGAAATATCTTCTCTCTTAAAACATTTAAAGAACTAATATTTTCTAGCTTACAATTTGATTAAAAAAGTGAAATTTGTGGTATTTAATGTAACGGGGCTGGGCAGTTTGTGTATTATTGTTAGTTTATTTGTTTTTCAAAATAAAACTAAAAATAAGAAAACAAAAGAAAAAAAAACTATTTTTATTCATTATTTGTCTCCGTTTCCGTGACTTAAACTGCGATGATGGACTGAACCAGGATTGAATCAGGACTAAACTAGGTCTAAACCCGGTCTCAACCAGGACTAAATCGGTCTCAGTCCTTGTCTTGGTCCCAGTCCCAGTCTTGGTCTGGTTCCAGTCTCAGTCCTGGTCCTGGTCCTGCTCCCGAGCTGGTCCCGGTCTCAGTCCTGTTCTGGTTCCGGTCTGGTCCTGGTCTCAGTCCCGGTCTCAGTCCCGGTCTGGTCCTGGTCTCAGTCCCGGTCTCAGTCCCGGTCTCAGTCCCGGTCTCAGTCCCGGTCTCAGTCCCGGTCTCAAACCTGGTCTGGTCCTGGTCTCAGTCCTGGTCCCGGTCTGGTCCTGGTCTCAGTCCTAATCACCCGACAGTCTACACGGGCGCACCTCCAGGTCCGTCCTGACACTCAGTCCTGGTTTAGTCCTGGGTTCAGTCCGTATGCGGCGCAAAAGTCCAGCATCGCAGTTTAAGTCATTTCCATTATTCATTTAAACACAAAATCGAAAACTGAAAAAAACTAATCATTATCAGTTTTTTTCATTTTGGTTTTGGAGACAAATAATGAAGAAAACAGTTGTTTTTTTTTCATTTTCTTATTTCTGGTTTTATTTTGAAAAACACATGAAGGAATGACACACAGATTCAGACCAATACCCCCCAAAAATTTATCACAATTTTTTTCAAATTTTTATAGTTTTTATCCATTTTTTTCTTATTAAGATTAATGTTTAGAAGCGCTCCGATCGATCAAGATAAAAAAATAACCTGATTGATGAGTGGTGATTGGAAAAATGGACCAATCAAACATAACGAAAACCCAGATAGGTACTTAAATTAATGGACATTATTGGCTTTTGGTCAAACTTCATACCATCAAGAGCCAATATTTTTTTGTTCAAATAATAAAATGGTTTGCGTCACATTCTCGGAGTCATGTGATCTTTTTTGGCCAATCAAATATCTAATAAAATGGCTTCAATTACAGGACAGGTAGTTAAAAAATTGTCTACAATTAATTAAAAAACAAATGAATATTACAGGTAAATTTAAAGTCTGTAGATTTTGAACACATTCTTTAAACAATCTTTTAAAGGGTCAATTCTTCTGCGATAAGGTTTTTTGATAAACGTCTCGAAATCGTAGTCAACTTTAAGGCGCTGTACCTGATTTTCCATGGATTAAAAACACAAAAAAACAGAATCTGGAATAATTTTATGGTTTGCAATGGCCCAAAGTTGATCCTCGTTTACTTTTACGCATTCAGAGCATCGTAATTATTAGTTTATAAGCGCTTTCCGCAACTCTCAGAGACCAGAGCGGAGTTTTGCCGCAACAACTAGCATACTAACCACACACTTCCTGGTTATCGAACTAGAGAGCAGACATATTTTGACCTCCAGAGTACGTTTTGCGCAAATACGTGGAAAAAAATCAGGTACAGGCCCTTTAAACCTAATGTCTTAGAATCTGAATCTATTGCTGGTTTGGTGTTTTTCCGGACGGTTGAGGTGGATAAAGTGTCTAAGTTTTGCTTTTTGTGTTGGATGTAAAAAATGTAAATATGTTTTGTTTTTTGTTTTGTTTTTTCTTACAGGAATTGCTTTAGAGATCCAGGTTTTGTACGTCTTTTACATGAACAAATCAGGAGAACTACTAAATGGTCTTAATGCTAGCTAATCAAATGATTGAAATGTCTAGACAATAAATGTGTTTTTGTAACTCTTGTGGTCGCCGTCGGTTTGTTGAATAGGCCCTGCAGATTTTCAAATGTGAGCAATATTGAGAAAAATGAGAAGTCTGTTGGAATTCTCTACAAGATCATTATCAGGTCATATTTTCGCCGTCCATCAGAAATGTGCTGAAATGTGGCAGAAAAGAATTCACAAAAGAAAATTAAATTGTAAAAGTTTCCACAAATGTGCAGAAAATCATCTTATACCCATGTCGAAGTGGAACAGCACTCTGAAAGTCCATGAACTCACTTCACTTCACATAAAGAAGGGTCCAGGTTTGATTTCCTGTGTGGTCTCTGGTTTTCCCCGACATAGGCTCCCATTGACTTTCATTAGAATATCTCCGTCCCTCGCTCTGTACCTGTCGCTGTGAGCCTCGTCATTTTGGTCTTAAAATGTTCATATTAACCCGTTCTATGTGATCCATAATTTTTCATTCTGTTAAAAAATCATCTTCGTAATATAAAGCCTGGCTCTAAATTTACTCCTGAAACTGTGAGCATTGATGAGCTTCATTTGACTGGAACCCAACGCTATGACGTCACTTAGGCTGCATTCAGACTGCAGCTTGAAGTGACCCAAATCTGATTTTTTGGCCTCTATGTGACCTGTATCTGATCTTTTAATGACAGTCTGAACGACACAGATCCGATTTTTTCAAATGCGACCCAGGACACTTGGATATGTGCTCCTGAAACCGATACATATCTGATCTTTTGACATGCGACTTCAGTTTGAACAGCCAAAGTGCATTCATTCGACCTACGCGTTATCAACAAGCCACAAATGTCACCATTCTGTGCTGAAGTAGGCGAAAATTGTTAATGAACTCTGTGTCACTGAAGTGAAGCACATCACCACTTGGCTCCACATCCACACGTTCATTTCAACGGACGTCGCTGCCGCTGTCCCACAAAACACCACGGCCAAAAACCTCGTCCTTCTCCTTCTCAATCTCCTCCTTAAAACAAGTAAGTTGTTCATGTTCTGACTCCGGTACGAGAGGAACTTTGAATTCGCCAGGTGCTCATTGCTCGCGTCCATGTTTGGACAACTTCCGTAAACACAGAGCACGCTCACTGCGGTTGACGTCTTCATGTCCTCCAGTGCACATGCGGGACACTTTCGGGCCATTTAACGTTCACACAGTGGATCGAATACAAGTCGCATTTAACTGGAAATGTGAACGACCTCACAAAAACATCAGATTTCACCAAAAAATCGGAACTGAGCGTTAAGCCCTGCTGTCTGAACGTAGCCTAAGACTTAGACAAACTTTATTGATCCACAAGGGAAGTTATTTGGACACAGTAGCTCACACATCAAAATAAATATAATAACAAAGAGTAAAAAGCGTGTTCTGGGCATGTCCCACCAGGAGGAGGCCCTGAGGAAGACCCAGGACACACTGGAGGGACTGTGTCTGTGGTCAGGGAACATCTTGGGGTCCGCCTGAGGAGCTGGAGGAAGTGTCTGGGCTGAAGGAAGTCTGGGAGTCCCTGCTTAGACTGATGCCCCCGTGACCCAGCCCTGGATAAGCACAAGAAGATGGATGGATGGAGAGTAAAAAATATAAATGGTTTAAATAAATATAAATTCAAGATAAGCATCCAAAAAAGTAGCAAGAGACTGGTGTCAAATACGACATTGTTGTATAATCAAATAAACATATAAATATATATATATATATATATGTATACATGTCAAAATAAGATAAGTAATAAAATCTCAGCTTTTTTACATTCCTTGGACCACTTTTTTATACAATCTTTGGGTTTCCCTCATCAACCCAAAACAGGCACAATAGGTACAAATCCTCCAGCTCTAGATGACGCTCTTTACACGGATATTAAACTTTAATATGAAGGTACACTTTAATCATTAAAATGTACCTTAACTTTAACTCAATCTAGTTATCCAAGTTTTTTTAATATACACAATATAAATGGCCTAACATAAAGACAAGCAGTTAGATTTTCCTTAGACAGAAATTTAACACCTTTTCCAAATGTAATGTTTTAAAGGTAAACTTTGTAACTTTCTGCATGATTCTTTGAGATCAGAAAGTTAAAATCACTTTGGATCATCCTCCATGGAGATAAGTTTTATGCCTTACACCAGGGGTGTCAAACTCATTTTGGTCCGGGGGCCGTATCCAACCCACTTTGATCCCAAAGGGGCCGGATCAGAAAACTCATGACATATAAACCCCAAAAATAACAATAAGTTCAAATATTTGTGCAGAGAAACACAAATCTATTACAGAAATCTTTTTTAATTGATGAACTCTTTCTTTTACAAAATATATTATTAAGAACCTGAAACTTGAAGAAAAACACAATTTCAACACAATGCTTTAACTTTAACTTGTATGTAAACAGGAATAAGTCAGTTTTTCTTGTAAAATCCTTCACTCGGCTCCACTTTTCTCACTTTTGACATTTTTCTGATGAGGGTGTCACGGTCAACAGTCAAAACGATCGTCCTTTAAGAGCGTTTGGAAAGAGACAAGTCTTCATTTGTGCTGCTCTGGTGGGAGGGGCCACGTACAGAGACGCTGGAGACGCTGCTGTGATAAACACCACAGAAAATTACCAATATTTTAATAGAAAATATAATAAAAATATTTTTGTAGAAAATCAGCCGAGGGCCAGATTAAAGGTCTTGGAGGGCCGGATCTGGCCCCCAGGCCATATGTTTGACACCTGTGTCTTACACAGTGGACGATTATAGTGAAAGGAAGAACATTTCCACATAAACAGGCCGAGAATGTTTTAAATTGTTAGTGCATAACCAAAACACATTATTATTTCATTCTATTTTTGGCTGAAAGGTTACATACTGTGACTTTAAATTAGTTTACTTTAAACTAGACGAAGAAAACTGTGGATTTGGAAAAGCCTCTGTTAGTGCTGAAGAAGAAGAAGAGCTGAGGAGACTGGTGGTTCTGCTGCATGCTTGATTCAGCCCCACATCTGGCCTGGGAATTGAACCAGGGACCTTCTTGCTCCGAGGCAGTATCATGTATCATGTATCATGTCGTGGTAAGAAAGACAAACACTTGGAGCTTGTGCCTGATGTGTTGTGTTTCACTTTTGCATCTCATAATACTAGAAAAGCACAGATGCAAACGAGCGAGGCGAGTGGATCTGGGTCGGCTCTGCTTTAGGCAAATCAGGAATAAGTCAATTTTTCTTGGAAAATCCTGCACTCGGCTCCACTTTTCTCATGTTGGACATTTTTTTGATGAGGGTGTCACGGTCAACAGTCAAAACGATCGTCCTTTAAGAGCGTTTGGAAAGAGACAAGTCTTCATTTGTGCTGCTCTGGTGGGAGGGGCCACGTACAGAGACGCTGGAGACGCTGCTGTGATAAAGACCACAGAAAATTAACAATATTTTAATAGAAAATATAATTAAATATTTTGAGTAGAAAATCAGCCAAGGGCCAGATTAAAGGTCTTGGAGGGCCGGATCTGGCCCCCGGGCCGCATGTTTGACACCTGTGCTCTACAAGATATTAAGTTTTAAAAATGGAAAAAATTAATTTGGTGCCATCTTTACCATGTTATACCAATAAAAAATGACAGCACCCACCAACATAAAATGGACTGTTTTAGAAAGACTAGATGTCTGTTTTTAACATATCCAACATTTGTGATGGTGATTCTGCTTTATTTTGCAAAATGAATTTTTGAAAATGTGGTGTCTGCATACATGCAGATCATTCATGGACTATGAAGACACTTTCAGAAACTAAGAAAACACTCTGAATATTTGATACCCAACGTAAACTCAACAAAACGTTTTATTTTTTTACTCCTTAATTACATTTGTTTTTATTTTGAAAATCTGGTCACCCTAACCTAAATTTGCAGAGTTTGTGTGTTAAACATGTGTGATGAAAATATCATTATAACATCGATCAGAAAAGTAGCGTAACATGGGCTCTTTTAAAAGAAAAGTTCAAAAATAACACGTATATTTGTGTAGATTTGCTCTTTTGTCTTTTGTGTTTTGTTTTTTGTTCGTGTAAACTCAGATCGGAGCCGGCGCTAATTCCCGATGTCGCACTGATATGACAGAACGTACGAGCCCAGCTGTTCAAACAGACAGTGTGCAAATCCGACGCTTACTCTGCTGAGCGCTAACACCACAACAAACAGCTCTGCTCTCCCAATCCCAATCCCAATCCCGTTCATTAGCCCGGACATGTCACCGAGCACGGACACACTGCACTAAATACAGCAAAGTAAAGCTGCACTGTGTCACTTTTCTGCTGGAGAGCCCAACAACAACCTGAGTGTTTGTCTGGAATGTTTCGCTATCTATCTCCATGGAAACAAACAGGTCATCAGGTCAAGTTACTGGTCAGATCTATGGAGAAGCATCCCATCCCAGCTCAAAAAAATGTACTTTTTTTTTTTTTTTTTTACAGTATTTTTTTGAGCAATAAAGCGACTCTAAATTAATAAATGCAAGACATATAAGTTTAATGCCATAGTACAGAACCTTCCAGACAAAGCTATAACGACAATTACAGGTCAGATCTGTGGAGCGGCGACCCCCTTCAAAGTAAGAATGCATGTTTTGAGGTATTTTTGAGCAATAAAAAACACCTGTACTTGAATAAATGCACGATAGAATGCCAAAACTATTTCTATATTACTTATTCATTTTATTTACATTTTTTTATTCTATTATTTGATCACTCTGAAATGAGTTCTACACACGATCAGTCGGTGATGAGTTTCGCCGATTGGGAAAAGCAGATCATCATGACGACTATTTGAATCTGATTGGTCGAAATGTGAAACAGTGAAACAAGCTGATGACGGTTGAGTTGTTTGTAGTTGTGCACCAAAGAGGGAACAAGAAAATGAAATAGCTTTTAAATGTCTAGAAAAGGGGTGTCAAACATGCGGCCCGGGGGCTGGATCCGGCCCTCCAAGACCTTTAATCTGGCCCTTGGCTGATTTTCTACTAA